CCAAGCTACAGTCCTTTCTCCTCCATCCTCCTCCCAGGATCTTGGACATGCACACAGACATGTTAGGCGTTAAGTTTCAAGTCACTGATTCTAGGACTCGAACCATGGTCAGCCATGTGGGCATCTATCGACATTAACCACTATACAATACGTGAGTCCTTGCATGTGGACATTTAAAACAGTTTATTTATAACTGCCAAAACTTGGAAGCAACCAGTACTTCCTTTAGTAGGTGAATGAATAAATAAACGGTGGTACAGACCATGGAATATCATTTGTGACTAAAATGAAATGACCCACCAAGCAATGAGAAGACCTGGAGGAACCTTAAGGTGCCTATCACCAAAATAGTGAAAGAAGCCAATGTGAGAAGGCTGCATTCTGCAGGAGTCTGATACTTCAGAAAAGGTGAAACTATGGACAGTAGAAAGATCTGTGGTTGCCAAGGATTGGTAGTATGGGAGGGAGGAATGAACAGTGGAACATGGAGGATTTTTTTTTTTTTCTGTAGATCTTTTCCACAGGGCACGTGGGCGCACCAGAGAGAGAGGTGGAGAGAGGGAAAGTGAGAAATAACCCCCTGAGGGATGGGGAGGAGTTGGCCACACTATAATCCCTTCTCCTTCATTCGCCCCTTGGCATTTTGGACATGCCTGCACACACACCCTGTATTTTCAAGGCACCAAGTCTGGGACTCAAACTGTAGTCTGCCATGTGGGATCCAGCACCTCCACTACCACGCCACCTGCTGACCCAAGCACAGAGGATTTTTATAAAGTGAAAATATTCCTTATGATGCTATAATGGTGGATCCATGTCATTATACATTTGTCCAAACCCAGCACTGAGAGTGAACCTTCGTGTGAACTATGGACTTTCAGTGACGAGGATGAATGATAATGATATGCCAATGTTTGTTGACTGTAACAAATGCACCTTTGGAATGGAAGATGTTGATGTGAGAGGTTATGTAAGTGCGGGAGCAGGGGAGAAGCTCAGGAATTTTTTAAAAAATTATTTTAATTTAACTTTCTTTTCCTTCCTTTCTTTCTTTCCTTTCCTTCCCTTCCTTCCCTCCCTCCTTCCCTTGTGCTCTTTCTCTTTCATTCTTTCTTTCTAATTTGACCAGAGGACAGAGTGAGAGAAAGAGAGAAGGGAAAAGTGAGAAATCAAGTGGCCAGGTTTGGGACTTGAACCACTGTCAGTCATGTGGGATTCGCACCCTTAACTATACCACCTGCTGGCCCCTGCCCAGTGTTTTTTATTTTATTTGTCTTTATTGTATATATTTAAGGCATACAGTATAACAAGACCAAAAATAATTAAGGAGATAGGGACAAAAGTTTGTGTTTTATACCTTTTACTTTTTTCTTTTTGAGAGGTTTGTTTGTTTGTTTGTTTGTTTGTTTTTTGCTTAGGGCATGCACACTTGCCAGAGAGAGAGAGGGAGACAGAGACAGTTAAAGAGTGAGTGAGAAATCACCTTTGGGGGGATGACCACATCACAATTCCTTCTTCTACTTTTTTGGAGAGAGATTTTTGCTATAGGGCATGTTGGAGGAGTCCGACCCGGTGAGGCCCCAGGATCTGTCTGAGCCCCCAGACCTTTGAGCTCCGCTTCCGGTCGGATCAACATGTTGGCAAGGCTACTGTTGTGCACCACCCCCCCCGACCTTGGAACAAAGCTTGGGTCAGTTAGCATGTCAGCAAGGCTGCTTGCTATTTGCTCCAGAGAATTGAGGCAGCCTCACTGGGAAGCGACCCCCCTCTGACTCCCCAATTTACTACTATGAAAGAATTGCATAGCTCTCCTATACATCCTGAGTATATGATAAAATCTTCCAGGAAGTCCCCCAACCGACAGCTCCCCTTTGCTCTGATCACTTACTATTAATTACAATGCTTTATCTCCATGGTCACAATAGAGGGTGGGCTGAAGTTCTTTCTAGGCAGAAGTAATCTTGACCTTTGGAAGGCCCTTAAATTCTTCCTTTCTTTATGTAAAATAGGATTAGGCCAAAACTGGCCCAGGACACCTCTGCCCTCTCCAAGTGAAATAGATAAAT